AAAACTGGGATAATATTTCTTCCGCATTCCATATGAAAACACCTCTTTGGAATTACACTTATGCGTAATAATACGAACAAAATTACGGACTTTTTTCGATCAGATGCGTGGTTCGCGGTAACGGATCTTTGTGCGCGGTACAAGAAATATGTTCGGAAACAAGGAAATGGTGGTGAGCGATATAAGATTTCACGTAAGCGATATGAGATTCGTGGTTCGAGTGCAAGGAACGTAGTTCGCGGTATCAGAACTGATGTTCGCGTTGTTGGAAGTCTAGGAGGCCTGAGAAAGGCACTTGAGAGAGTATATTAGTAAGCATTCAAATATAAGAATTCAAGAAGCATGCGTGGTTGTCTTCCCTCACCGAAGTTTGGAGACAAATCTGATCGTATGAACGAGCTTTTTGAAGTTTCTACGTGCGGTCCTACTCCTGTAAACAGATAGATAGCCCTACTTAACTTAAACTTTCACGGAAGTCAGAACTTTTCTAGAATTAATCGTGACAAAATCTCAGAAAATGATACTATTGTAACTAAGAAATTCATGCATATTTAAAATGTGATTTATCACTAATTTTCATAAATTTTTTGTCACAAGTTATTCTTAAGAAACAGATTCCGACTCCGATGATTTAGTTTCTAAGGAACAGAGAAGCCACGTTTTATTGAGCATACATGCATTGATATTTCTAGTGAATTTTAAGAGTTTAGTTATACATTCCTGAAAATATAATCATAAATTCCAAGCCTTTTTACATATTTTCAGGAGTATATAATTATAGAATGAGGGAATTCTTGTATCTAGTCTCAATCAGTAATCTTTAACACCATGTATCCCATCCCCCATTTCTTCTATTCAACTTTTAAAAAGAGTATGGGTTTTGTAGATATTCAGGGACTTGATGCGAGACTATTCCATCATTCAGGTACCTTATATCGAGACTTATAATATCAACAATATATTACAATACATAATCATATAGTGGTATAGCATTATAATTAAGCATGCTAATAGCCAGTGAGACAAGGGTAACCCCTTTCCCATCTATGACAAAATCTGAAATGAGACCTCTACAGATAGAAGCTGACAATGAGGTAAGGACTCAATTAAGGAAAAAAATAAAAAAAAGTATGCTTATGATACACTCAATCAGTCAATAGACTTATTACAATATTGTAACATTTCAAATGTGGAAATAGTCAAACAATGTGCACATATGTGAATATCACAGTCAATCAGTGTAGTAAGCCAATTAACAATCGTACAGTACTTGACAATAAACTACAACAAACAATATGGAACAACAAACAACTTAAACTCCATATTTTTATTTATACCGAAAATATCCTCTTGTTGTAGATGTACTAAAATTAGATAAAAATTTCAAATGAATTATAAATAAATACTACTCTTTGTATTTGTTTGACTTTTCGTCTTGAGAACTTTTTGTTGTTTCTAACTAGACTTTTTACTCAGGGTAAGTTAATAAGCAGTAAAACGGAACACCTCTCAAATATGAACACCTCTAAATGTAAACACTGTTTTCAGTCCCATTTTTAATCTGCCTTGGACCTCAATGTAGACAAGGCATTAACATGCAAAATGCCATCACCTGCCATTTGTTACAGATGCCAAACACCAATCACCAAATGTGGAACACCAACAGCCGAACACCATCCACAAAAATTCTGGAAACCATAATAATATGTCACAAATTTTGGAAGTGCACATAAAACCTTGATATGTGAACAAAAAACCTTGATATGTGAACACAAAACCTTGATTTATGAACACAAAACCTTGATATGTGAACACAAAACCTTGATATATGAACACAAAACCTTGATATGTGAACACAAAACTTTGATATGTGAACACAAAACCTTGATATGTGAACACAAAACCTTGATATGTGAACACAAAACCTTGATATGTGAACACAAAACCTTGATATGTGAACACAAAACCTTGATATGTGAACACCTGCTAATCTGAATACTTTTGGACAGTCTAATTTGTGTTCAGAAACAGACATGTTTTACTATATATAGATAAAATTCTTACTTTATACTGCCATGTTCAATAAGAAATGATCCATCTTCCATACTTTTGTGTCATCTTTTAACTCCCATGTTATTTCAAACTTAATGTAAAAATATCCAATGCTCACTCTCTCTTGGAGCCTGCATGTATTAAACCTGTGAACTTATTTGAACTTAAAAAACATAGAATCCTCAGATAAGGAATTTCAATCAGCTTATATCCCTGTAAATACTGACACTGAAGTATCAATTGATTTCAATCTCAGTGAGAATATACTCAAAGATTTTAATGAATGAATGCTCTTTTATATTTCTCAGTTCAACTTCATCACATTTTGATTCTGTTTTCTTCCCAGGAACCATGTCTGTGTTTAAAATTTCGATCCAGCTGATGCTTTTTGATCATTATCTCACAAACACCCTTACATATTTTTTACTAATTTTGATAGTTCTGTATAATGTCTTCAGAAGACTTGATAAAGTTCTTTCTGATTCTTTAGAAACTCATTTTCTCAACATAGTTTGTGTTTTAAAGTTTGAATACGGTGATGTTTCGTTCATGGGGACTCAGTCAATTTCTCTGTTGCATGGAGATCATTTTTCATCTCACACTGGCAACGCTGATGACCTTACTATGTATGACTAATTGAAAAATATGTTGAAATTTTTTTTTGTCTTTTTTTCTAATTATCAGATGTTAAAATTATGTTCATCTCCTGTGACCCCCCCCCTGTTTCTACAATGCTATATAGTTTGGCTTTTAACATGATTCCATTTTTACTAGATTTTGATTATCTTTACTCTTTTTCTGTCAAATGGGCAAGTCTCTCAATATAAGCCCTCATTTTTTAAAAACACTAGGCCCATTTTTTAGTTTTTTAAAATGGACCGATTCAAATGATTTTATAAACCATCTTAGAAGTTAACCTTATATTCATAGATCTTCTAAGAATTTTAAAAATAGGGCCTACTTTACGGCCTTAAATTTGGCCCTTTTTCATTCTTCCAGATTAGGATGTGTGTCTTAAAAGCAGGACCTCGAACCGCATTGCCCTTGGAATGTGTATTGTACTTTTTAAATAAAATATGACATCATTCCATAATCAAACAAGTCAAAAAGTCAAGAAGCCATTGAGGCAGTTGTGATGAAGTAATACAAACACAATTAGCATTCACTGGTAAGCTATCATTTGACATGTCTCTATATAGAAAACTTGACTGTCTAGTGTCTAATCAAGAAGCTACTGAGACTCACTGGTGGATCTGGGGGGGGTCCACCCCTTGGATGGGCCCAGAAAAATAAATTGGGCCCAAAAAATGTTGGGCCAATAAAGGCCTTTAGGCCCCAAAAAGTTGGCCTTTTTGATCATTACTGGGCCTTGAAGGTCCTTATTTTTTTAATTTTAGGCCAATTTTGAAGAAAATATGCCTCAAAATTTCAAGATTTGGGCCGAAGATTTTTTTTCCAGACCTGAAATTAGGGCCCCCCTTGTTGGTTCCCAGATCCGCCCCTGGAGACTAACCAAGAGTGTTCAGATTGGCAGATTTTCACATTTCAAGGTTTTCTTACATTGAAGTCTATGGCAGATTTTGAAAAAATGGACTGAAAAAACATTCAAATTCAGAGGTGTTCAAATATATAAGTTTTGCTGTACCAGCCAAGCAGCAACCAATAAAATGAGAATGAAGATGTACCAAGTACCCATAAAATAGAAACAAAAGACATCTATCAAAAACACTGGCTAAACTATTATTCCTCTCTACCAGGCACCAAAACAATCTCAATTCTGAGTTCCTAGACTTCAAAACACATGTTGCATGACCTTGGTCTAGTTTTTATCAACACACACATTTTTGTGGTCAGAAAACGCCACAAATATCTCCCAGCTGTGTTGCTATGGAGATTAGGTTACCATAGTTGCAACACAATCTCACAATAAAACATGAAGAACAGTGACAAAGATGAACCTAACCCTGGGGATGGGGATTAGTGACTGAAATTCATTTAAAATCCTCATATGTCTTTTTAATGTCATCATTGAGTAAAATATGACAAGACAAACTTTCTTGATAATAAACTCATAGGCCAAATTGAGGATTTGTCAAAAATCCTGAAGTGAGACCAAATATAATTATTGTTGAATTAGAAATATATTCTGCAAACTTTTTTCGAATTAAATAAAATAAAAAAAATAGTCTTGGAAAATAGGGTCTTCATGACCTGATATATCCTAGACAACTAAACTAAAATGGATTTGAACACTTATCTCTGGAATTGGTTCAATTAAATGCAGTACAACACCATGGCAAACAGTATATGAACTAAATAAATATGTCCATTGAGAAACATGATTGCTTATCTAGCTGCAAACAATGTGGACATTCAATGTCATGTTACGATTTTCACTATTGATGATTCGCCAGGTTTTTATCTAATGAAAACAAAACTTTCCAGTTGTATCAAATATATATGAAAAGTTAACCAGTCATAGATAATTCGTGATACATATGTAGTGTTGTGAGGTATGATCGATTGAGCTTGAGCTTGAAAGCCTGAAGTTTTTTTTTGAAGTGATTGAAAAATAGAACCTTAAAAATCTTTACATTGAAGTTAAAGAGGAATTCTATAAGTTATATTTTCCCTCAAACAATTGGTGAAATTGCTTAATGTTCAAAAATGTCCCTCAGCAATACATCTACCAATACATGTACAGTATACTATATATCGTTGCCAAGAGTGTAGCTTAGAGCTAGGAGGCAGGCGAGGCAATCGCCTAACCAAAAGTTTAGAGAAAAAATATTTGTAAAAATTAAAACTGAGCCCTATACCCTGTACAGGTATAGCATCCTTTTAACTTTGGTCAGTTGCTTTGGCTTAAGATATGCCTTGCCAATAAAAACTCGCTAGCTACCCCTGTAGAGTATTACATAATACATAGCTGTTGGCAATTGGCTTACCTGCGACTCCTTCGTGGGATGAGGCCACTGTTTTCTATATCAGGTAGTAGATCAACATCATCCTCTGGTTGATCCAACTCCTCCTAAAAATATATCAAAATTCATTATGGACTCATCAAAGCTTGTGGTGGTGATTTTCACATATTAATTTTCATCTAAAATGCCGGGTATCAAATCTATCCTTCCAGCAACTCCAGGTCTCTAGCTAACCCATATTGGTAGGGGGCATATAGGAAGTGAAATTTCATGTTTGTCCACTGCATATATTGTTTTACATTTTTGATATGTTTCCTCCATCCTGACCCAATATAACACAAACTGTTGCAACTTTTGGAATGTTGGACAACTCAAAATTCAAATAATAAAGATAAATATTAATTTCACTTCTGACTCGCTGAACACTTACCTTTTGATATTCATCTTGCCTACTATTAGATCTATACTCTGTGAGAGTGAAACCAACCATTGTTTATTGTATTCTAAATATTGTATGTACAATGAGATATTTTGCTCTCCATTGTATTGTATTCTAAACATCCCACCATACTATTGAGATCCTTTGCTATGTGATTCACACAGTATTTATTATGGTAAATTGCGTATAGTCATTTATCGGATATTATGGACAAGGAAAAAAGCATTTAATTTGCAGAATGATGGATGCGATGACAATCTATTACCATATAGACAAATGAACTATTTGTATAGCAATCTATTTTGACTTGTTAAAATAACATAGAGCTATGAAACTATTAGTACATATTAATACATATTTTTCCTACTACAGTATAGTTAAATCTTGTATATAAATATTTTAGCTTTTTCAAAGAAAGATTATATGAAATTCATTAGCTTGTCTCGCCCTTATGTGATATTCACATTGATGAATGGACCTAAATGATCACATGACTTTATTAAGAAACACAAAGGCGACCTCCTTTCGAATGAATAAATTGAGTCATCAAAATATAGTCAGTGATGTAATTACTTTCATTACTAAATGCCTCGTGGAAGAATCAGTTATATAATCAGGGGTTTCACTTGAATTTCTCACAACAGTCTAAATAAATGAAAACAACAGACAAAATTAATGGAAATCATAAATTTAACATGGAAAATTGAAATATCCCGAAAAGAACAACAACAACAACCGGTGAAAATCGCCTGTTGCCTGCTGCTAATGAAACCCCTGATAATGTAGATCGAGATTCAAGCAAAAATACAATGAAACAAAGAAAGCAGTTGGTGTCAATGCAACAATCTCATGGATATTTTTTGCTCAATTATAAATCAACATGAATAAATAAAGTTTCTAAGAATTGAATAAAGTCAACAATATTCTTATAGCCATACTCATAAAGTTGAACATATACAAATGATTTTTCATCTAGAAAATATGAATCTGAAATATTTTGTAAGGGTTGACATCTATCACTTTGATACAAGATTAGTCATCATCTACTTTATCTCATTAGCTATCATCATTATCTTAAAGCCCTGCTATGCTTAATTTAGAAGAACAAAGTAAAAATTAATCATTGAAAGATGTTACTCACACTTGATAAAATATGTGTAGCTATTGTGAAAACTCAACAGATGCCTTCTTATGAACTGAATGATGAATTCAAAAGAAATATTTAAGAAAGAAATCTATTAAAAATGGCCTAAAATATTGGAAGTTGGAGAGCCTATATCAAAATTAGGACATCATTTTTGAGATAATACTTGAAGTAATTTATAATTCACACATAGGCAAAGTGTGTCAAGTTCCAGCCAAGTTGAACACAGTATTTCATCTCCGCTGCATTACATAATCAATCACTTCATTGACAATTCATTGAATGGTTGTCAAGGTGACAACTTGACTCTACAGATTGAAACTGATGCTTTGCCAACTTGACTCTTGCAAAAAGTTTCATTGAAAATATGCATAGTGATTTTGTATCTTTTAGGTGATTTTGTAGAAAATATTTTGCAATGTGTGAAAAGAATTTAAGCCTTAAGACTTGATACATTGTGGCTGATTCATTCAAGTCAGGCACTGTCTCTTATAGTAAATGCTTTTCCATCGGCAGTCTTGCAAAAATTTGAAAACAACACCTTCAGAGAAATGATTCAGTCCACAATGCACTGATTCCAGGGCTAAACAACTATATGTATTCAAAACAGGAACACTCTAACTCTGCTCACCCTGCATATTAAATATATAAAATATTGTCTTGTGAATCTCATCTCTGGAATACCACCCCAGGCCCTTTGCCAGAGGTGGCGGGGGGGGGGGGGTAGTATGTATCCAACAGACCGAATATAATATTCGGTCTGTTATGATTGATATATTTCCTGTGGAAATCGCGGTGATATTTTTTGCACATAAATTTCTCGTTTATTACAAGAATGTTCACCTTGAAAATTGGTGAATATGTTGAAGAGATGTTCATCTTAAACTAGAAGCAAAAATATTTGTATAAGGCGGGTACAAGTTGATATAAAATAATGAAATGTTCAGACTCACCAAAACTTCAGGATGTGTTCATAAGTAGATCGCGAAATCAATGTCAAGGACGTTTGAGTTCACGAGATCCAAACGAGATATGCAAATTTTTGAACTTTGACAACACATGACCACTTGATTACCTCGGCCTTCTTCATGAATATTTCCGCTCTATTTACTATAAATGACGAAGATTAATCAGGATAATGATAATAAATGACAAGATCTAATAAATTCCCGCACAAATGGAATTTATCAACAGGTGTTATTTGTTTACAAATAGACTGACGTCACTGGCTAAATCTCGTTTATCGTGAGAATTGGCATTGCCAAAATGGCTTGACCTAATCAATGGTTTCGCTACAAGAAGCATCTGTACATTTTATGAATATCTTCAGTAAGAGGACAATATACGAAAAAATAATATTGTAAGTTCTTTATAAGGTAATCATTTTATCATTAAACAAACTTATTTGTAACATTTATACAACACCACATTTTACAATAGGTGACTTACAGTCTGAATATTTATTCAGACGAAGGATACAGTCTAGGGGGGGGGTAGCTCAAACACACCCACCCCCAAGCTACTCTACTCAAGTATTAACTCCAGCTAAATTGAAACTAGCAACTAATTGAAAAATAATCTGAAACACTTAAAACTAAAGTTGATTAAAGATTTTAATATCAATAAGTTAAAAATCCTGAGTATAGCGTATATGAAGTAAACTATTTCAGGTCATATCGGTAAGTCTAAACTTAGGCAATTAAGAATATTTCAGGTTCATACAGGGGTTTCACTAGAATTTCTCACAACAGGCTAAATAAATGAAGCAAAATTAATGGAAATCAATAATTTAACATGGAAAAGTTAAAAAGTCCCTAAAAACAACAGGCGATCTTGTGAAATGTTACAACCGTTGAAAATCGCCTGTTGCCTGCTGCTAATGAGACCCCATTCCTTGTCAATGTCATATCTACCGTATATTCTAACAAGTATACAATCATGTAATTTGAGGAAAACTAACAATAATGAATTCATTTTTCTTTAAATATCATCATCATCCGTTACCGCATTTATTATTTGGGATTATTACTTTTCCTAATTTTTACGCTTTGAAACTTAAACAACTTCATCAATTGATAACATATCGTGCAGCTTTTGTAATTAATACTGCATACAGTATGTCAACTGATTCCCCATTCAAAATTTCAATTCAATGAATGATACTTGACATTGTAATATCAAAACGTTACTTAATTATTCTGGAGCCTTAAAATAGTCCTGGTCCGTTATGGTTTATGTTTTGGGATCTACCATGGGGTTCTTAATTTACAAAGTTATATATATGAGGGTTATGTTATGGGAGGTTTTGGATATGGAGTATATCCGAGGGAAATATTGATATCTTACCGAGGGCCCGGAGGGCACGAGGTAAGATATCATATTTCCTGAGGGATATAATTCTTCAGTCATCTAAAGAGGTCATATGATTTGATATCGCTGGCGTATCAGCGATTTTGATACAGATACATGTATCTATGGTGCATGCACTGGATCTACAGGTGAAAAAGAAAACAAATAGAAGATACGTTAGGAAAGTAAATCTATAATTAAACAATTTTCCATGTTTTGTTAAATTTGCATCAAGAAATAATAAACATGTAAAAAATCATCAAAGATTTAGAAAAAAATGGAAACTTTTTTTTACTCACCAAATCACCATCCAATAGATCGCCGGAATTCTGGGAGTTACTTGGGCTTGGTGACCGCTGGACTGTGACTAATGCCATATTGGTATTCTCTGAAAACCGCTGGATATTCCTCCAAATAGATCAGAGCTCCCCGTAGCATCGAATTAATTCATTTTATTGCGAAGATTTATTTTCAACGTCAGCCATGTTGCCCTGACCTCTCGTGACCCGGAAATAAATAAAACCCTTCACGCATGCGCAGAAGCCTAGCAACTGGAAAACATTTTTTTCAAAAAATTGTCAAAAATATTTGTTATGTTTTGATGAATATCTACCAGTTTATTTAATAATATGACCTGCTTTCTCTTTGCTTTTGTAGATTAGTATACATTTAATAGGTAAATATTAATCTTTTTAATTTTCCTCCATGAAGTATTGCAATACAATCGGTTCAAATTGTGTAAATTTTGAAAAATTTAAAACTCCAAAAACCACCTGTTTTTAATTTCAATAATAAAATTCATAAATGTTTATAGTTTGCTAGATTTAACAGATTAACAGGGTGCTTATAAATTTTTTTGAACATGATCATTGACAGTTGCATTTTAAGTTTACAGTCAAGCGTATTAGATTCGGGATTAGATTCAATCTAAGATTGCTTTCTTCCATTATTATGCTAGACATCTAGGGCGAAGGGGTGTAACGTCGACACCATTTTGGGGTAACTTCGACATGTGGGGTAACTTCGACACCTTGTATTTTATTTGCTCTAATTTCCGATCTAGGGGGAAGCCATGTTTTTTTTCTCGCATGGATCGAGATCGGAACGGAAATTCTACTTCTAATATGTAAGTGTCGAAGTTACCCCGTCTATTATGTCGACATTACCCCACACGTCGACATTACACCCCTTTGCCCTACAGGTGTATAGCCTAGGCCTAAGGCTTACGGCCTAGGCACAATAGTAATCATGAAAAATGAGTCATTAATTTAACTTTCTTTTGTTGCAGATATATAACCACTGGAAGAGGATCATGGAGTCTACTGGTACTTGCTTTTCACCTCCCCCTACACCTCCAGTAGGGGGTAGGACAATAACTATGTCACCTACTAAGGGACGTCAAGGCCTAGAGACCCCTTTAACCCCTGGGGACAGACTTAGTCCAGCTGCAGACTATTTAAGGCCCATAGTAAAAAGTGCAGTACGTCGATGGCAAAGACACCATGAGCAACTGCAGATGAAAAAATTAGTTGATAAACGAGGGGTCAAAAAGGAAAAATCAATGGCTATTAAGCAGTCAGCAAAAGAGGTTGCAAGGCGTATTCCTATGGAAATTCTAGCAGAAGAATGGATGTCATCAAACAATGCTACAGTTGAAACTAGAGCTTTATTAGTAGACAAAGTTTTACCAACTCTGATATTAGGCCTTGAGAAACTCCTCTTAGAGGTTGACAAAAAGAAACTTGCTGATACTGAGGAACCAAATGCTAATTTTAACCCGATAAATTACCTTGCACAATATTTATTAAGGAACAATCCTCGATATAGTAACTTCTCAGAAGCATCTCCATATATCCGTGGATTAAGGGAGATTGCCGACCAGTTAAAACAACAATTATTTTCATTGGAGGATAACAAGTAAGTAAAAAAGCTTGAGGGAGGGGGTTTCCTATCATGCATATTATGAGTAAAACTAACATAACACTGAAAATCAACGATTTGTTCATTATTAAAATTCTATTTTGGAGTAGCAAGCAATTTTCAACCTGAAGATACGGACCCCCCCCCCCTCCCTTATATACATCAGCAAGAGTTGTGGTTATAATGTGTAAGGAGGGGGGGGGTCACATGGTCTTGTAGCTAGACTATACATTCATTTTATAGAGTTTTCTGATTACAGTGTAAAGTCCAAGCATCATTTTTGAGGATTGCTTGTTTTGAACTAATCCATTAGCTGGATGGACTTACCATTCACCACCATATTGCTAATTTTGGGCATTCATTGTTTAATGATTTGATAATTTTTTTATTTGGTGTGATGGGGTCTGTAAAACTATTTGTTTTGCCCAATGTTTATCCATGCTGTGTCCCACCATCTGCCCGAAAGTATTCACACAATGGTGAATGGTGAGCCTACAAGGCCTAAAAGTGACAGCTCCATTAAATTCAAGCATAATTGCTTGTGGAGAGAAAACAAATTGGTTTTGCTAAACCAATCAATTGATTATATAGGTTAGGGGAGGAATGAAAAGTTCAATGTCTATTTAAATTTGACCTCTGCCCCCCCCCACCTCCTTAAAACTTAATTCTTAAAATGTTGAAAATCGGGGCAGAGAAAAAACTATAAAGTAGAATTTGTCCAATATATGATGGAAATCCTTAAGTTTCAGCAACATTTTTACAAGAATGATGGTTTACATCTAAATTTTACTATCTTTGAAGGTAGTAAAGCTCAGATTCTATGAAATTTCAAAACATTGATTTTGTCAAATTTTTTAGTATTGAAACCCCCCACCCCAAACTTCTTTAGTTAACTTTCTAAGCAGACATCAATCTTTTAATGCCTCCCCTTAGCTGTGTCCCCTTGGTTGTGTTAAATCCAATTATTGACCATGTAGATTCATTGGTGTTTTGTTCTTCATCTCCAGACTAGCCAGAATCAAGGCGGAGGCCAAGAAACGTCGTGAGGAGCGTGAGGCAGCTGAACTTGCACGTCAAAGGGAACGAGAACGTCGTTCTAATTCCCTGAATGACCAGTTTATGGAATGGGGAGTTGGCAAGGATGGCAGAGTAGAGCTTGCTTTGGTAAGTATTGCTTTTTATTTTTATTTGTTACAGTATAATGAACAGCCCCTGACAAATGGCTCAAAGTCATGGTATCACTCCACCAAGTTTTTTATGTATTTTGCGGGGGTCTGTAAGTTGTACCTATGTCTGGAAAAGTAGTCTGCATGATATGCATATTTTATAATTGGGGAGTGCTCTTTTACTCTAGGGGCGAGGAGGGAAATTCTCAATAAAAGGAGTATAGTTGGTTTGGCAGCATTTTCAGTTAGGGGAGAGTCTTGGATGAAATTTCCACCTAGGTGATAGCTTCACAGAGTGGTAGGAAGTTCTTTTTTTTGAAGAGTTAGCCCCCCACCCCACAAAAACACCCTACCCCGGGGAAAAAAATTGTTCACACTAAATAACCTTAGATATTTTGATGTTTGTAAGTGACATACATAGATATTATATATATGTATCATTTGCAGTATAATTGATGCTGATTACTCCTAACAAAATTGAATATTAGTACAAAGTGTGTACCCCAGGGGGCAAATTCGTGACCCATTTCCTTACTATTTTGATCTTAACTTTTCAACAAGACACTGTAAGAGGTTGAAAAAATTCATGTGAAGTGCCCAATAGCAGGGTTAGTAACCCTGAAAGATGCAAAGCCATGGAAGAGGTAGGAGCTGAGAAAAAAATTGTTGATTTTTCGAAAAATTTGACATTTTTGCCAGCTGGATTTTGTGTATGACTATAGCTGACCCCTATAGTTCCTGGATCCATCCCTCTATGATGATATATATGGTTTTATAGTGTGAAACTAAGATGTAAAACATAATTAAGATGGGTTTTAAGGAAGTTTAAGGTTTTAAACAAGTCCAAAATTTGAAAAATTGTAAATATAAGGTTTCAAATTTACGAATTACAGGTAGAGCCATGGCAGACCTCTATAGTTTCTAGATCCATCCCTCTATGGTGATACTTATGGTATTGCTGTATGGAACTAATATGTAAAACACAATTTAGATGGGTTTTAAGGAAGTTTAAGGTTTTAAACAAGTTCAAAATTTGAAAAATGGTAAATATAAGGTTTCAAATTTACGAATTTCAGGTATAGCCATGGCTGACCCTTATGGTTTTTACATCCATACCTCTATGATTAAATATACAGTTTTAGAGTGTGGGACTAAGATTTAACATACCCAAAATGAATTTTTAGAAAGTTTAAGGTTTTAAACAAGTCAAAAATTTGAAGAATTGTAAATGTAAGTTTTCAAATTTATGAATTTCAGGTATAGCCAAACATGACCCTTTTTACATCTATACCTCAGTGATGAGATATATATTTTTAGAGTATTTACCTAAAATGTAAAAGATGCATAAGATGAGTTTGAAGGAATTTCAAGGTTTTAAACAAGTGCAAAATTTGAAAAATTGATCTCGAAAATTGGTCTCAAATTCACGTTATTCAGGTACAGCCTTGAATGAGCCCTGATAATCGAAGGTTATGAGCATAATAGTAACAACTGTGATATCATAGCTTAGAGACCAGGTGTAGAATATATACCTGTTGCAGCAGTTAGTCTGCTGCATATAGATGGAGTGAAAAGTCATGAACTACAGTAAAATCTTTCTAATCTGAATGCTACTAGATCAGGGCCGTCAGATGGGGGGGGTGCGATGGGTGCGACCGCACCCCCCTTTATCACCCCCCAAAATAAATTTGAAATTTTTTTTTTGAAAAATATTTTTTTTGTAATTTTTTTCATTGACTCATACACTTTGAACCCAGAAACCACCAAATAGCATCTTAAAATTGTAAAATTCTCTAGGGGTATTAGCCACCCCTCACACCCCCCACAAAACAATGGAAAAGTTCTAAATTTATTTTAGTGTTTTGTCTCAGACACTTTTAAAGTGCCCAGACATCATCAAATAGCTCCTTGATATAGTTAGTGTTTCTGGGGGACTTGCTCCCCCTCTTGCATCTTGCACTTGCATAGACCCCCCTCTGGCGCCCCCCCCCCCCCAAAAAAAAAAATTGTGATTTTCTCAAATTCTTTAATTGACTCATACACTTTGAAAGTGCCCAGAAAGCACCAAATAGCGTTGTAAAATTGTAAAATTTTCTAGGGGGAGTGGGCCACCCCTCACACCCCAAACGAAACAATGGAAAAGTTCTGAATTTGTTTTATGTATTGTCTCAGACACTTTTAAATTGCCCAGACATCATCAAATAGCTCCTTGATAAAGTTAATGATTCTGGAAGACTAACACTTACTCGCCCTCTGGCATCCCCACTCCACCTCCCCCTCTGGCAGCCCCCTCCCCTTAACACCCCCCCCAAAAAAAAAAATTCAAATTTTTTTATTGACTTTATTGACTAAAGTGCCCAGAAAGCACCAATTAGCATCTTAAAATTGTAAAATTTTCTTGGGAAATAGACACTTTTAAATAGCCCAACTTCATCGAATAGCACCTTGATATTGTAAATTTTGATATGGGGGACAAACACCTGCTCCCCCTCTGGCACCCCAGCCCCACCTCCCCCTCTGCCCCCCCCCCTTTGACACCCCCAAAATTTGAAAAAAATTGAGATTGTTTTTCAATGTTTTTATTGACTAATACACTTTAAAAGTGCCCAGAAGCACCAAATATCATCTTTAAATTGTAAAATTTTCTAGGAGAGTTAGCCACCCCTCACATCCCCCACAAAACAAAAGAAAATATTCTGAATTTCATGTATTGTCTCAGACATTTTTTAAGTGCCCAGACATCATCAAATAGCAACTTGATATGGTCAATGTTTCTGGGGGACAACCCCTTGCTCCCCTACTGGCACCACACCCCACTTCACCCTCTCATCCACTTTGACACCCCCAAAAGAATTTGAAAAAAATACACATTTTTCTTATTGACTCATAATGCACAGGCATAATTTTTACCACAATGTTATACTATGTCAGGAAAAGAAAGCACCCATGACACTGTGCTTGTACAACTTGAAAATCAACTACACTTTAACATTTGATAAAGGTGTCTACCAAATGAGTAATCCACATAAATTCAAATACAAGCACTTGGCAAGCTATTCCCTATGATCATTAGTTTCATTAGTTTCTCTAGAATCTAAAATTGACCTTGGGTTTATGAGAGTAGTAAATTGGAATGCAGTTATATGGAATATTGAATTGGCTGGAATTGGACACACCTTGCCTAGAAATGTGTGAGTAAACTATGATCTTATATGGATACAAACAGTTCGTTTGACAATGATCATCTATCTTATCCTGTAAAATCAGAACTTAAAAAGGGGTTTGAAATGGAGATCGATGAAACCATACCACAAATTGATAAAACTTTCGTGATTGATGCAATGGCTATGACAAAGGGAAAATGAAGATTAACTTATATGTTGAAATTTGGAGAGTTTTGGAAAGCTATATTTGACTACTCCATCAAATCTAGTAAAGGAGCCCAAAGAATAGATTTCATATTAGACTCCTAGCTAGTTGTCTCCATCAGTAAAGGATTCTGAAAGAATGCGAATAATGGATGCTTCCCCTATTGAACTTTAATCCATAGAAGAAATTACACCATTACCTAAAAATATGAATACCTTTGTCCAAGTAATATAAGACAAATTTTCAAAGATTACAAAGAAATTCAATAAAGCAGCATTCTAAAAGTGTGCCAAATGTCAAGATTGTTTTAAGTGGAACTATTGGAGAGAACTCAAATATCTGTGCAAGTGATAACTGAAATCTCCTGTTAAATTCCACTCCTGAAGAGGCTGATTTTAAAATTATTCACTCTGTTTTACATTCAGCAGAACATGTGGGACTGCAGTAATTTGCATGAAATGACACTGATATTATAATTTTATGACTATCATTTCAATAAATGAAAAAAATTCTTCAACTATGCTAGAAAATGTCATCTGCAAAGTCAGTATGTAAACATTTTCTACAATGTCTGTTTGTTTGAAACATATTGATCATATCACTATATATACTTTTTGATCTACATGAAGATTTTAATGTGACAAGACCCTTTTACCCTAGAGTTCCTTATATCATTGCACTAACGGAAGTTTCTAGGCCCGGGGGGGGGGGGGGGTATGATCCTTATAATCCTTATTTTCCCAAATAATTACTGTTGCCTGATGACAAATTGTTTTATTGGGAGTGTAGTGATTATAATTTGATAATTCATAACAACATTTTGTATTAGGAGATGATCATTGCTTAATTACAGAAGGGGCATAACAAAATATAGAGAAAACATGTTTCTTTTAATTAACCATGTCTTTATGTATTTTGATAATGCGGAACATTACATCGAACATGTTGATGTGAAAAAGTAAAAATGCTACATCACATAATAAATATCATCAAATAATAATTAATTAGTTATAATCCATTTAATCAATCAATTACTACACTATATACGATATCCCTAGGAGCAGTTACACTTACTGGGGGATTTATTAACCTCTCACCCCCTTAGGAACTCAAGGGTTAAGTCCTCAACTCTAATGATTTTTCTTTTAATAATACATGTAACATGGATCAAACCTGACCACAATATTTTTAACATCTAATTTCTAAGCTATACCTGAAATCGTAAAGGAGGACTGAAGGTATCGCAACAGATTTCAGCAATCATATGTTGGATTTTGGCTATTTTCTGAGGATTTGAGGAGGTGCATATGTTAGGCCAATGCATTTCCTCCAGGAAAAGCACCCATAGAGATGATAAAATAATTTCTATTTTGAGACAGGGAAGGTGCAAACAACCCACCCACCACCACATGCATAAATATATGTGTGTATATGTATAAATATATGTGTTTTTACATACAGTTAACCCCTTTAAATGAAAAATTCATTCCATCAGGGATTTTAAAGATATCAAATATGGGTGACCAAAATTAAGTTGAAAGCAATGGATCACATGAGTTTCCTATGGGAAAATAACAGGAAAATATTGTTTTCCGCTTTATCTAAAATAAATTTATCCTTTTAATGGTTAACTATGTCTCAAAACGCAACATACTGTTGCAACAAAAATTGAAAAACCAGGGGTGAACGGGGTTGAAAATCAGGACGACATTTCCCCAAAAACATGTGGGTGGATTGTTTTCACCTTCGCTGTCTCAAACTCCAAACTATTTTATCATCTCTAAGAGTTCTTTTCCCATAGGTAATGCAATGGCCTATCATATATGCACCTGCTTAAATCCTCAGAAAACAGACAAAATCCAACATATGACTGTCTGAAATCTGTTGCGATACTTTCCGTGCTCCTTTGAGACCTGATATTTCTCAATTTTTCAAATATTGCACTTGTTAAAATTCTTAAACTTCCTTAAAATTCATCTTTGGTATGTTTTACATCTTAGTTTCACACTCTAAAAGTATATGTTTCATTATAGAAGTATTGATGAAAAAGCCATAAGGGTCATCCATGGCTATACCTAAAATTCGTAAATTTGAAACCTTATATTTACAATTTTTCAAATTTTGGACTTGTTTTAAATCATTAACTTCCTTAAAACCCATCTAAATTATGTTTTACATCTTTAGTTCAATACTACAAAACCATAAATATCATCAAAGAGGGATGGATCTAGAAACTATAGGGGTCAGCCATGGCTATAGCTGGAATTCGTAAATTTGAAACCTTACATTTACAATGTTTAGAATTTTGGACTTGTTTAAAACCTATAACTTCCTTAAAACCCATCTAATTTATGTTTTACATCTTAGTTTCACACTATGAAAGCATAAATATCATCAAAGATGGATGGATCTAGAAACTATAGGGGTCAGCCATGGCTATATCTGTAATTCGTAAATTTGAAACCTTATATTTACAATTTTTCAAATTTTGGACTTCCTTAAAACCCATATAAATTATGTTTTACATCTTAGTTCCACACTATAAAACCATAAATATCATCATAGAGGGATGGATCTAGAAACTATAGGGGTCAGCTATAGTCATACACAAAATCCAGTTGTCAAAAATGTCAAATTTTTCGAAAAATCAACAATTTTTTTCTCAGCTCCTACTTCTTCCATGGCTTTGCATCTTTCAGGGTTACTAACCCTGCTATTGGGCACTTCACATGAATTTTTTCAACCTCTTACAGTGTCTAATTGAAAAGTTAGAATCAAAACAGTAAGAAAATGAGTCACGAATTTGCCCCCTGGGGTACACACTTTGTACTGATATTCAAATTCTTTAGGAGTAATCAGCATCAATAATACTGCAAATTATTCATATATATAATATCTATGTATGTCACTTACAAACATCAAAATATCTAAGGTTATTTAGTGTGAACAATTTTTTCCCCAGGGTAGGGTGTTTTTGGGGGGTGGGGGGCTAACTCCTCAAAAAAAGAACTTCCTACCACTCTGCGAAGCTATCACCTAGGTGGAAATTTCATCCAAGACTCTCCCCTAACTGAAAATACTGCCAAACCAACTATACACCATTTATTGAGAATTTTCCTCCTCGCCCCTTGAGTATTTGTGTATATTGAGCCGAGCTCCTCATTAAATCCCTTAAAAATTGTACTTGTGTGTTTCTGAAAAACCACTCAGATAATAGGCCAGATTTCAACAGAGTATTCATAACTCCCCATTGATGGAGCATCATCGATAAAAGTAGTTCTCTCTGTCCCTCAAAATAATTTCAGTGAATTTTACAAAATGTTGTTTATCTCTGGAATAGCTGCCTGAGATTTGACTAGAATACTGATACACAGATCCAAATCGAGCCTCTCATTAAAAATAATTCTGTAAGAGCATGCCCCCAAAATCTGTGATCCTGTGGTCCCTGTGTAACAACCTGTCACTGTTTTATGCTGTCAGGTATGATGTCACAATATATAGATACCCTGATGATTGAATAGAGCATGGTAGTGCATCTATAGAGAATTAGTGAATGTTCTAGATTGGCTATGCTGCATTCTAATTGGTTGAGAAATTCAATTAGAGCACAGACGGTTAATGTTTTTTTGAATTTGTTATTCACAATAATGTAAGTGTGCAATGTCTGGTTACTGCCCATGTAATTGTTAAACGTCCAGCACTCCTGATACATGTAAATTAAACTTGCTTTTATGCTTTCACATCATTTACATGTATAATCTCTTATTGTAATGTGCATGTATATATAATATAAACTTGGAATAGATCGTGAGATATGATGCACTGGAGGATCCTAAAAAAGGAGGCACATTTCAAATCAGGAAACAAAGATTTTTGGAAAATTTAAGATAATTTTTGATAATAATACCACAACTGTCGCTGGTGTATATAAGTCTGGAGTCCTGAAGTAAGACTTGATCCGACTAGTGTGTAGGGTATTTATCCCATGTCCTGTACATGTATTTATAGATCCAGATGATGTGTATGTATTCTTTCCTGTTCCGTTTCTCTAAAAACGTATTAATGATGGTAATTTGCCATGCAGCACATGTTTTCAATGCAAAAATCAAATTTAAATACATGTATCTCAGGTTCATCAAAAATAACTGCATAAATGAACATCATGGGATAAAGAGCTTATTTACTTGTCAGCATGAAATATGGGTTTTATTAATTGTTTGTAATATAACAATATGATATATGCAACTCAAAATGGTATTATCCAAAGATGCTTATTTATTGTTCAAAAGTATTTACCTGAAAGGATATTTTACATATGTATTTACATTCATGACTAGGGATGTCACGGTTTCCCGATATTGTCCCACCCCTCGGGACTTTGGTCTTGTACCGAAGGTTTCGGTCCATGTTCAGGATATACTATTTCTCCTATGACCTTTAAACTTTCCAAAATGCACATTAAATATGATCTAGACTAGAATTTTCTTTTGTATTTACAACTTATCTGCCGGATTACGTTAATGTATAAACGCCATATAGTGGCAATTTCTATTTAGTGATTATTATTAAAAGAAAATTCAGTACAGAACATGTAGTTTTATCGACAACAGTGTTTCCCTTTGAAAGAAGAACTTTATTGGCAATAAAAGTAACAACTTAAAATTAATCTCAGATAACGAGTTTATGTTTAACAGAGCAGCCCTCTTGTGACGATCAGAATATCCGCGCTGCATGAGCATAACAGGAAGTAGACGGAAAATGTAATTTGTAGAACTGTTTTAAAGTTATTAACTATTTTATTGGATATTTCCTGTCCAAAATGTCCCATCCCAAAATGGATATTTCCCGTCCCGTCCTGAAATATTTTTGTCCTGTGTTATCCCTATTCATGACTGATTAATAAGGATTACTTCATAGTATACATGGAATTTAAAATAGCATAAACACTAGCACTGTTCCACAACTCGTTACTTTGAGGAAACGTCAATATAACAAATAGGATGAACTTCCTGGATACGAGTCTTTTGTTTACTCGATTTAAACCTTCTTTTAAGTCAAGTTGCGGATTATCATTTGACACAAAGTTAAACAATACATGTAGTCTAGCTTTAAGAAATGCTCTAAGTTTGGAATTTGATTTTTGAATAAAGCTGTTATGCATGCACCTAGACCATCGCTTTTGTTACATTGATGTAAGTTGTCAAAGTAACATACATTGGTAATATAATGGACTTTCATCAATGTAACAAAAGCGAGGGACTAAATATATGAATTGCAACTTCATTTACAAAACAAATTCCAAATCAATGAAACTTATTAAAGCTAGACTATATTTCTAGGTTTCTGCCAAATTATAATCGGCAACTTGACTTAAAGGTAGGTTTAAATCGATAAAACAAAAAACTTGTAATCAGGAAGTTCATTCATTTTGTTACATTGACGTTCTGTCAAAGTAACTTAAGTTGTAGAACAGTGACGAGGGTGTTCAGAAAAGTGTTGAGTGTTGAAAAATTTAAAAATATTTTAAAATCAATAGTTCCTAAGTGCAAAAAGTTCTGTATTTAATTGTGCTTCGTAACATCCATCCTTGTCAGTCCTGATGCAATAGTCACCAGCCATGCTTAACGTTGACTGCCTGAAACAAATGCATAAAACACGGGTTACACAATTGAAATGAATTAAACTCTTATTTAATTATGTGAGGTCAATTTTCTCATACAGTTTACTAATTTGCTCTTGTACAGTGTATGAAGATCAAGAATTATACCACATAACTCCTCTATTTATCCATGCCTTCATATAGGACATCATCCAGTATTCAATAAGAGCATCTCATTTGGGAGATATTAAAATGATGACAGAGATTATTAAAAGCTAATCAGTATCTGTAGAATCATAGCCAGGAATGGGAATTTAGGATAATTATTCATAGATGTATGATTAACAGTTTTATGGATATGAAGTCATGCAGTAAATTTTTGTCTACTTTGGCTTATTTGCCTTAAAAATACAGTATTGAAGATCCTGGCTTTGTTGGACAAGCAAGAAAAAGAAGTGCAACTGATACTGACCTCTTTCTTCTTCAGCCTTTTTGACTTTTTTAGCAAGGTCTACTCTCTTGGCTTTCCTCAAAGCTTTACACAAGGTGTCAATCACAGGAACACCGGATTCTTCTTCCTCTTGATTCTTCATCCATTTTTTCAGCAATTCTAGGCCCCATTGGCTAGCATCACGATCTGTCATCTGAATATTCTTCAATTCATCATCTGTCATCCCAAGATGAAGCCCAATGGTGCTGAAGTGGGTCCCCATTTGTGGCCCAATGTCAGTAAACAGGTCATTGAAGAATTCTTCTACATAAAAATATTAAACTCTAATTGAAAAAGAAACACATCATCCAGTTCTACCCAATGGCAGAATTTTTAGTTATATTTATTGAAGTACATGATGTAGATGCAGTTTACAAGAAATTGAATTTCCTATAATGTTGTACAGGGTGTTAAAAAAAACAGGACCATAAGAAAGTTGTATAACTCGGTCAATTTTGCATATTTTAGAGTTATTTAGTTCAGTCAATGTGAATTTTGTTCTGAAAGTTTGATGATAATCTGTTTATTGTGTCAAAAACTAGAGTACTTTACAAAACATGCTCAAAGTGGGCATTTCTCCTCTCTATGCACAAACGAATCATGGGGACAAAGTTGTAAATGACTCTGACCTACATGTACACACATCAATGTGGATGGTACAAATTGGGGTAGTTATTGCCCTCTTAAGATTGTTATGAGCCTGTCAGTATACATATTGGCTTTGTGAAATTCTCAAAGATACAAATTTGGGGGATTTAGATCTGGCAAATGAGCTGCCCATATGGTTTGCGTTTTGCAACTGTTGAGCTGACCACCAAAGTATTGCCTGAACCATTTCAGCATATCATTTGCAGTGTTGGGGTTGTATTGGCTTGTTGAAACCACTGCTTATCTCCTTAAATGTCCCTTCTGGTGCTTAAGTGACCTCCAAAACTTAGTGAACATCTTACTGGTCCTTGTTCATGGTGATAGCACGTCCCCAGTCACCTTCGAACCAAAAAGGACTGATGATTCCATGTTTCCTCATTGACACCCAGGGAGTGCATTGTTCAGAATGCAATGGATGCTGTAACACTTTATCAGGAGGATGTAAGCCCCAGTAGCAATTGTTCTTGGGGTAAACTTGTCCATTCAGAAAGACATGTGTGTAGGAGGATCATCAACAACTTTTTTCGGCGGATTGAATTGTGGATCGAGAGGAGAGGCGCACATTTGGGTTATGTTTTGTAAGGAGCTGTAGTTTTTGACTCAATTGGTAGATTATTATCAAACTTTCACAACTAAATTCACATTGAATAAACTATATGATTCTGAAATTTCAAGGAAAAATATGCAAAATTGACCAAGTTATTCAACTTTTTTACAGTCCTGTTTTTGGACACCCTGTATGTAGGTTTTAGGTTGATAAAAAGATGGCAGTAGTATAGTTATTTACAAACAGATTGCGCTGCCATTTTTATGAACATTCTTTCTATCACCCTTCATAGACAGCCTTAAAATCAAAGGATTATTATGAGATAAAATCACAACCCTTTGCAGTCGTATACTATTAAAAAATTGTGATTTTAGAAACTCTTCTCTGGTGTTTGTTGCATCTTTTAACTTACGTTCTTCTTTTTTTTCTTGTTTTTCTCTCTTTTTCCTTTCTAATTGCTCCTGTGTCTGAGCTGTAACATATTTTGAATGTGAATTTATACAAATCCTGAATAAGGGGCGAGGCCAGATAATCATCTACCATCACAGAATGTAATTTTGCATGTTGGGGATACAACCCTAATTTGTTTGTTATGCATTTGTGTATGCCTGGTATTTTTTTATAATTCAGTTTGAATGAGGTATTGCCCAAATCATGAAACCACAGTTCATGCAAATCAACATTGAATATTTTGTTTTGAAGGAGATTCCGAGATACGGTTATAGGGTTATAAAGATAATTATCTGCAGGTAAATAAATTGATAAGACATGTTATGCAATTGTTTGACATACCCAATTATATGCAAATATTCATGGCCTATGCATGGACTTTAGTAGTAATTTCTTTCTCTGATAATACTTACTTCAAACAGATTTAGACTTTGCCTTAATTGTCATTCTTTGGCAATAATATTGGCAATAATATTTGGATACTGTAAGTTGCTTTAATTTGACGGTAATTTTATTGATGACATCTGCCAAATTAAGTCTCTGCCAGTTTTTTGAATAAATCCCCTGGGATTCCCATGTAGGATAAGAACATTTGAAAATACCCCGCTAAAATGTCAATATTGAACTATTTTTGAAGATCTAGATCCACTGCTGGTTATTCTTTTGAAAAACGAGAGCAAATATTTGCATCTTTGTAAGAACCCTCTGATATCCATATTTTACCAATTGGAAAACACTAAATTGAATAGCAGTCAAAATTTCTAAATTTGCCCAATGCCAAATTAAATAGCGCCAAATTAAAGCAACTTATAGTATAATCTTGAAATATGTAAAAAAGTATCTTGTATTAATGTAAAACAAACAAATATTTACCTGAAAATTTACCCTCTGCCATCTTGATAATCAAATATCAAAACGAAAGAGAAATTTATTTAAATGAGTCATATACAGTATTTATTTATATACTTATTGTTTTGGCTACTGTACAAGACATTGTAATATATTAACTTAAACTGAAGCACATGTAGATCAATAAAAAAAATCAGAGAGAATAAAGTCTAGTCACTATGTGTCTTTAAAACTGTCATAAAAACATGTGTAAAATTATTATCAAGGCACCATAACATTAAATAGTTAAAAAGGAAATATATAACTTTGACTTTTTCTCAGTAATTTTACAAAAATAGTTTGATCCCCATAATGGCCAAATATATTGATTCTATCCTCTGAGTCTGATATTTGGTGTGAACATGTATAAACTAAGGTTAATGGGAGTATTTAGTACTATATATGTTACTGTGATTCTTTTATAGTTGTTCCTATTTGGCACTGCATTTATACATTTTTTTTGAAATGGAACACTGTCTACGCTAACTGATGTTTGAAAAATTGGACATGAAGGACTAAAAAGACCATACTAGCTTGATTAAACTTTATTGAATAAGTCAAGTAGCATCCGTCTCCATCAACATATTATATTACATATAACTGAAGACACTGGTTTAAGAGTTTGAGTACATATCTATTTTCAATGAAAATGCACATTTCCTTTTTAAAGAAGTCAGAATCACTTATCAACAGTTCAGATTCAAATGGTGCCTTTGCTCTCAATCCTTCAACATTTTAATGTTCTTAGTCAGAAAACTTTTCTTTATCTTAAGCTATAATCTGTATCATCATCTTCTTCCATTGGTTGTTGTGGGTTGTTGTATACTGGATTGTCTACCTGGGCTACTTGGGGTGCTGGAGTTACTTGCTGTACCTGAACTTCTCCAGCACCTGGAAATATAATACAAATAATAATGATGAACATATTGAAGTAAAATGTTGTATCAATCTATAGCAAGCCATTAACTTGCAAAATGTTACCACCTGTCATTTGTTATAGACGCCGACCACTGAACACCAACTGCCAAATGCCAAACACCAACCACCAAACACTGCCCAGTTGGAGAGTTAAGTTTCCGTCCCCCTCCCTCCCTTTTTGACCCATCCAAAATATTATTGCCTTCGAAAGCTGTTCCCTTTACCTCCCTAGAATCATCTTATTATTGGTTGGAATTCTGATCCCAGCATATATTTATTATTCATATTTGATTTGTCCAAAACACCCTATGCAAGTACAATGTGGGCCTAAAACCCAATACCCAAGTTTAATGATGAATATTATATAATGTAACTTTAAACTAGCCATGTATTATATATCATTTAATAGATAAATCATTTCCTAACAATTTGACACCATCTGATTGAAAAACTGTTGTTTTCTTGTGGAGTAAGAGGCTATAATCTGATAATTGACACCAAGGATGTCATGAGCAACCAAATTTCCAAATTGTGAAAAATTGAGGGAAATTTGAACTTTGGCACCTTCATTTATACAAGTAAAGTGCAGAATTCAGCAATAATTCTTTAATTAATTATCAATTGTGTATTACTCTTAAATAAAGTTATGATGATTAAGTCAACTATATTGAGTGTAGCTGTGACTGCAATATGGAGGGAATTTTGAGAATTTTGGATTTTTGGTCGCTCACGGCACCCCTGGTGTCAATTTTAGTCTCTAACTCCACAAGAAAACAAAAGTTTTTCAATTGGATGGCATCATTTTGTTAGGAAATAATTTATGTTTAAAATGATATGAAATACATGGCATGGCTTAACATATACTGTATCATACAGTATGAACCATTCATCTTTAAACTTTTTTTTTTTTTTGGCACACCCTGTATATAGGAATATGTGCAGTATTATGGTATTATGGCTCACTTTTAGCATGTTCATTCTCCACCTGCCCCGCGAGGTCATTTCTACCAGAGTCGCTTAGTGCTTTAGTTAATATTGCTATCAGGTTTGCTCCAATTGGTTGTTTCTCCTTCCACTCGGTCAACAGTTGGTTGCCCCATAATTTTGCCTCACGATGAGAATCTCTGATGTTCTTCAAGTCTGAGTCCTTAAAGTCAAGGTTGATCCCTATTGCAGTAAATTCAGATCCCATTTGGGGACCTATTTTAAGGAAGAGTTTTCCGTACCAAGCATCTGAAAGAAATTTCATGTACATCTTTCAAATTATTGCAACAAAAAAATCCGAAAGAAATTATTCAGTAGTTCGATAAAGGACAAATAACTGATTTTATTTTTAATGCATGTACAGTGTACTTTATTGAGTCAGACACAATTTTATAGTAGTGTAGAATTCATGTGGTTAGATTTGATCATACTATTAATTATACTTAATTCAAAAGAAAATCGGAGTTGCATTGAAAAATTGTTTCTCTACCAACACACTCACACAGACTCACAAAAATATAGAATTTCATATATGGTAACTGTATAAAGTATAAATATCATAACTCAATCAGTACTGTATGTATTTTAAGTGCAATCTGTAGAAAAACAAAAATGTTATGTACATGTTATAAGTATATACTGAGATTTATAACTTCATAAGGAGGCATGTGTCTGAACATTTGAGAAAAAGTTTGGTCACCAAATAAAATAAAAAGGTTACTTTACTTACCTGAATGACCTCCTCTTGCCATGCTGGAATCAAAACGAAACTGAAATGTATGAGATTGATTTTGGATGGTGACGAGTACCTGTATTTCTTCAGCATGCAGGCGGCCTCATATAAAAAATATGACTATTGTATTTTGGCACTCTGGTACAATAGTTATTGATTAACATATTGATCGTTGTAAATACAGTAACATTTGTCGTATTGAACGCCTGTCCATAGTCAACACCTGAACATCCTTTCTTAGAACATCTCTATCAACCTCTGTATAAAACACCATTTCTACGGTAAACATTTACCTTTGGTGAACACCTTTTTATTGCTTCATAGTCAACACCTGAAAACCCTTTCTCAGAACATGATCTTTGCCCTCTGTATAAAAACCATTTCTATTGTAAAAATTTACCTTTGATGAAGACTTTTTTATTGCTTCATAGTCAACGCCTGAACATCCTTTCTCAAAATATGCTCTATTGTCCTCTGTGTAAAACATCATTTCTGTGGTGAATACCTACCAATGATGAACACATTTTCATTGCTTAAGAGTTGCCATGGTCAGGGAATATTCTTGGAATTTCAGAACTTCCTTAAAACTGGTTAAAATTGTGTGGAAATTTTAGAACTCTAAGAAAGGTCAAGGAATTTAAAGGCAGAATCTGATCTATAGGGGGTGACAAAATTACAAGCAACATGTATAATTGACCTACCAATCTATTCCTTACAATATCAAATACAATATCTCCCAAAAGATTCACAATATGTTATAAATTGGTGAAGTTATTAATGATTCAAAGTGCAAAAATTAGTGAAAAATGTTTAAATTCTCCCAAATAATAAGAATGGTAACCATTCTTATAGAAAAATTATACATTATTGTAAAAATCTTTAGTTTTCCTGGAATAAAGTATGCACTTTTGTGATTTTTAGAAAATAGACATGACAAGGAAAGACACAAGCCAAAAATATTCCAAAATTGAAACAATTTTTTGTTCAGCCTGCTCGCTATATCTGATTTTCTCTTTAAGTTGATAAAAAACCTGGACAACAAAATGAAAAGGTGGATGAAATAGAAAAAACATTTAATGAAAACCACTCATATCATTCATGAAAGTGAACATGTTATTTTGTTTATTTCAATATTTTAAATTTTTTGTTGATATAATTAAAAATGTATTTTGTCAGGGCTTTTCTTAACTTGATTAGAGAAAGGTCTGTGATTTGAAAATGGTGTGGCAATCTATAAGTTCACTATATATAAGTTTTAGTGGATAAACCTTACTTTACATTTCTTATTGAATTAAAGAATAGATTTTTTCACTGCTATTAATATTACAACTATACTTTTAGTGCAACACTTATTTAAGTTAATGTGCTAAATATGTAAGCACAAATGCCAAAGGGGAAAAGGTCAACAAGTATAACAAAGCACAAAAAGAAAAAACAAACCTCAAATATATTTTACATGTACATGTATGAAAAGACAGGTTCTGCAGTATATTTATTTCATTAAATCAGGCCTAAGGGTATGTTTGTGAGATACAGACATTTAAAAGTATTTTCATATAATATAGACAAATCTATGTGTAACAGTATATTTGGAATATTGAGACATAGTTTTACAATTTATTTCTTGTATTTTAGACTCTTACAGTATATCCATACACGCATCTAAGAGCCCTTTTCTACTTATCAACTACAAAGCTTTCTTCGCTCTGTTACTTTTATTTTAATTCATTTTGTTTTTTGAATATAGGCATCACATCAATAAAAAATGTAAAACTACAGAATCATATTTCCAGGAATGTAGGCTACGTAATGTCCTTTTTGAACCATGCAATTGAATATCAGCAAGTACTTCCAATTTTTTAAAAGACGAAATATATTTTGTAAGGCTATGCCTTTATTGATCTTTCATTGTCATCTTAATACAATTTTTTTGCTTATTATTTAAGTATAGTAGTCATTGTTCTGATTATCGGGTTCATCTCTTGGATCATCTGTAGGTGGTGATGGTAGGTGCAGTGGAGTATGATTACCTGAAACAAACAAAATCATATTAGATAAGAAAAATACAACTAAGAAATACTTGCATAAACAAAGAAAACAGCCCTGTCCCTCAAAAACAATATCAATATATAAAAAACAGGGAAACTACATGGAACGTTTAGAATTAGCCAAAATAACGATTTGAATAGATCATCGTGGTAAGTCATATCTTTATCTCTGTCCTTCTGGAGGTCTATGATACAATATAGAGAGATATGCTATGAGTGTCAAGCTGTCATTTTGACGCTATATCTAAGTAATTATAAGAATCTGATGACTTAAAAATGATTTTTTCATATCTGAAATGAATAGTACAGTATAATAATATGACATCAGAGAAAACAATGGCATATGCTAGCGACAATAGGAAAAATGACTTACGTTTATCATCTTCTTGCTCAACAATTGTTGCAAGGTCACCTCTATTTGCTTCTGTCAGTGCTTCTTTTAACAGTGCTACTGGGTTTTGTTCTTTTGTTAGTTTCTGCTTCCATTCAGTAAGCAGTTTGAATCCCCAGTTTTTTGCATGGCGACTAGAATCTCTGATATTATCGAGCTCTGCATTTGTAAAACCAAGGTTGGTTCCAATTTTTTCGAATTCAGCCCCCATTTCTGGACCAATTTTCTGGAAGAGTTTTGCATACCATTTATCTGCAAAAAAAGAAGTCAATACTCATGTACAAGTACAATGTACATTGTATAGATTTGTTCTTTCTAAGGTCTTATAGTCTCGTACTTGAAGGAGGCAAAATACTATATCCCCTAGCATACCAGCATAGTTACATGTATAAATGGGAATTTCATCATTCTCTCTAATTTTATCTCTTGTCTAGAGGTGTTTTTAATCTCTTTACTGAACTATATTTTTAAATCTCTCCTGTTGGCAGTTAGCCATACATTATATTATGTGTCACTGCATGCAGTATATTATTTTAGTGAAAATGTTTACCTGGGTTAGTTTCTGCTTCGGCCATCTTAGAAATTCAATCAAAACGAAAGTACATGTACTCAAATCAATGAATTAAGGAATAAATAATGATAGGCCATTCAATATGGTGAAATTCAGCACGAGTTGGACAGAATGTTGTACAAAGCACGAACCGAAGGTGAGTGCATTTGTACTAACATTCTGTCCAACGAGTGCTGAATTTCACCATATTGAATGGCCTATCATTATTTATTCCGATTCAAACATAAAAATTAGTAAAAGCCGTGTCTGTGGAACGGGCATGAAGGAAGAATACGCATGCTGTCAAGATTCTGAAGTCGGCCGGAAAAATTTTAGAATTTGTTTGGGCTGTTCTATTTTACTCCCCGTTTTAGATTATTATATTATATAGTCAGCCATAGTTAAATAGTTACAGTAGTTACGGAGGGAGTAAAAAAGAACAGCTATCCCCGGACAGAGCCCCAGATGTGCAGCTGAGATGTGACGTCACTCAAAACAATGCAAATTGCAGATTGAATAGAGCATGGTCGTGCATCTATGGAGAATTAGAGAACGTTCTATATTGGCTATGCTGCATTCTGATTGGTTGAGAAATTCGAATAGAGCACGGTCATGTTTGAATCATTCATACAAGTCTTGCTTTTTATTTAAACAGTGGTATAAAAAGAATACAATAGTTTTTGAGTTCTTATCAACTGCAGGCAATATAAATCTAATCCCACAACAGAAAAAATCAATTTATGTAACTTTTATTCGTTAAGGTGCTATGGAACTTAACAGGAAATGACAAAACAGGAAGTGACAATTTTTTTTGCATTTTTAGATATTTTTTGAATAAAGATAACAGAGTTCTGGTTTGACCTCCAGTCAATTTAACTATTTCCACATATCATTTACATGACCAGGATCACAATGTGCATGGTCAGAATGACCCTAAACATGATGAAATAACCTTTTTAGCCCTTTGAAAGTGTGACTGAAAAAAAGCTAAAAGTAGGAGCGTAGGGAAGGTCACTGAACAGAATCTTTTGAATTTTTCAGAAAATGTGCCCAATATATTGCTCTAAATGATACAATCTTTGAAAATTTGATATCATTCATAGAAAAAGAAAAAAAAATGAAAAAACTGATTTGAAAATCGATCTATTTTCCTTTTTATGACCACCATTTTTGTTTAAGACGATTTTCTAAAATTTCAAAGATTGTACTAGATAGAGCATTATATTGGGCACATTTTCTGAAAAATTCAAAAGATTCTGTTCAATGACTATCCCTACGCTCCTACTCTTAGCTTTTTTCAGTCACACTTTCAAAGGGCTAAAAAGGTTATTTCATCATGTTTAGGGTCATTCTGACCATGCACATTGTGATCCTGGTCATGTAAATGATATGTGGAAATAGTTAAATTGACTGGAGGTCAAACCAGAACTCTGTTATTTTTATTCAAAAAATATCTAAAAATGCAAAAAAAATTGTCACTTCCTGTTTTGTCATTTCCTGTTAACTTCCATAGCACCTTAAGCACAGATTCTTCCCTTGAATAATTATCCCATCGAACGAAGTTCGGAGGGATATAGGGAACGCCTCTGTCCGTCCGTCCGTACATACGTCCGTCCGTCCGTCCGTCCGGGCAATAACTCAAATACAATTGGCCCGATTTTGTTCATATTTTGTACACATATACCCTATGGGGGTAGAAGTTCTGCTCGAAGCCGATTTTCAAAATGGCCGCTCATTTCAAAATGGCGGCCATTTTAGTGCCGATTTTACAGTAATTTAGGTGCAATATGTAAAACTGTAATAGCAATATGTTTTAAATGTAAAAAATTATAAAGGACATTAATAATGCTACAAATGTAGATATTAAAGAAGCACATGGCAGCCATCTTGAAAAATGGCGGCCTTTACTCGTCATTTTACGATTTTTGCTGTAACTCAAAAAATGGTGGAGCGATCTTGTTCATATTTGGTATGGGAATTCTATAAGCATTGCGCACTGTCTAAAGACACTTTTGATAGAAGGCGGCCATTTTGAAAAATGGCCGCCATTTTAACGTATTTTACTATAACTCGAAAAGTAGTGGAGCGATTTTGTTCATATTTGGTATGTGAATACTATAAGCATGGCACACTGTCCTATGACATTTTTGGTAGAAGGCGGCCATTTTGAAAAAAAATTTGAAAAATGGCCCCCATTTGAACGTATTTTACTATAACTCGAAAAGTAGTGGAGCGATTTTGTTCATATTTGGTATATGAATACTATAAGCTTGGCACATTGTCCTATGACACTTTTGGTAAAAGGCGGCCATTTTGAAAAAAAAGTTGAAAAATGGCCCCCATTTTAACATATTTTACTATAACTCGAAAAGTAGTGGAGCGATTTTGTTCATATTTGGTATGTGAATACTATAAGCATGGCACACTGTCCTATGACTCTTTTGGTAGAAGGCGGCCATTTTGAAACAAATATGAAGAATGGCCGCCATTTTAACATATTTTACTAATATTAACTCGAAAAGTAGTGGAGCAATTTTGTTCATATTTGGTATGTGGATACTATAAGCATGGCACACTGTCTATTTCTAATGACACTTTTGGTAGAAGGTGGCCATTTTGAAAAATGGCCGCCATTCTAACGTATTTTACTATAACTCGAAAAGTAGTGGAGCGATTTTGTTCATATTTGATATGTGAATACTTAAAGCATGGCACATTGTCTAATAAAACTTTGGGGAGTAGTCTGCCATTTTGAAAAATGGCCACCATTTTTATGTGTGTTATTTTACAAGTATTAGGCCATCAGCTTCACCCCAAAATTTAGGTTATCGGTATCAAATCAGGGGAATAATCGCCATAGTGATTTTTGGGAAGGTTATGACCTCTAGAGTAAGAAACTATGTGATAGCATTGCAACAATTGTAGCTAAATGGGTGTTATCACCCATTTTTCAAAATGGCCGCCGGTGCACATGTTACAATATAAGAGTGAGTATATCTAAGCACACTGAGATGCAGAAACTGTGATTTTAGGGTCTATGTTAAGGTTTTAGGGGTCAAGGATTTCATTTATGCCAAAATCTAAGTCATCAAGCAATTAGTTCTTATAGAAATCCAAGATGGCCACCAAAATAGGTGCCAAAATGAACACCTGTATGTAACCATTGATTTAAGCTCGAAGAACAGTTAAAAACAGTGATTTTGGAGATCATTTCATAGTTCTAGAGTCAAGGACTTCATTTATGTCTAAACAGAGTCTTCAAATAATTACCTTTTCATAGAAATACAAGATGGCCACCAAAATGGGTGCCAAAACGAATATGTGACTATTGATTTAAGCTCAAAGAACAGTGATTTTGGAGATCGTGTCATGGTTTTAAGGTTCAAGGATTCCATTTATGTCTAAATCTAAGTCATCAAACAATTACTTTTTATAGAAATCCAAGACGGCCACCAAAATGAATGCCAAAATGAATATGTAACTATTGATTTAAGCTAAAAGAACAGTTAAGAACAGTAATTTTGGAGACTCTGTCTATTTTGTAGGGGCCAAGGATTTCATTTATGTCTAAATCTTTAGTAATCAAATAATTTCTTTATATAGAAATCCAAGATGGCCACCAAAATGGGTGCTGAAATGAATATGTAACTATTGATTTAATAAGCTAAAAGAACAGTTAAGAACAGTAATTTTGGAGACTCTGTCTATTTTGTAGGGGCCAAGGATTTCATTTATGTCTAAATCTATAATTAATCAAATTATTACTTTTTATAGAAATCCAAGATGGCCACCAAAATGGGTGCTGAAATGAATATGTAACTATTGATTTAAGCTCAAAGAACAGTGATTTTGGAGATCATGTCTTGGTTTTAAGGGTCAAGAATTTCAATTTTGTCTATAATTAAGGCATTCCTTTATTTTGATATCCAAGATGGCCACCAAAATGGCTGCAGTCACGATTTTGAGGACTGATTAAAATGTTTATTTTCATCAAACTCTTTCTGGTGTATGATACACTTGTCTTTGAGGAATTTCTGTGCTTGATCTTCTCCATCCAATAATCTACTTCTTCCTATGGGCAGTCAACTTCTTTCTATAGTCAATGTTTATGATACTGAGCCACAACAAAACTAAGGAAAAGGAAGGCAACTTACAGTAACATTGCTAATGCTATGATTATACCTAAGATTTTATTACGCAAATGTTTATGTAATTGTTTTTTCTTATTTGACCTTTTATAATATTAACACTTTGGCATCCATCTTTAATCCTGATATTAATCACAGATTGTTTCATGGAATAGCTCTATATAACTGAAATTCTTGACCTCCTTAAAGTAAACATTGCTTACAAAATTATTGTTCTTGGTGATCTATGTGGTTAACTGGATAGTTATACCATTGAAAGCCCATGGTTATACGAATTCATTTTGGCAAGCATTTTGGAGGCCATCTTGCATATCCATATATATAAAATGTTTGTTAATTTTATTAAAGACAAAATTAAAATCATTGTCCACACAAACTTAAAATATCAAAAATTAATGTTCTAACTCCTCTATATGTTAAGATAATAAATCTTATTTTCACTTCGGCAGCAATGTTGGAAGTCATCTTGGATCCAAATGAAGGAATTATTTATAGTTTTAGACGTAACTGAAATTCTTGACGCCAAAATTCTTGACATGGTCTCAAATTACTGTTATAAACTTCTTTGAGCTTAAATCAACATTTGCTTGTTATTGTAAGCACCCATTTTGGTGACCATCTTGGATTTCTATGAAAAGCAATCATTTTGTTGACTCGGATTTAGACATAAATGAAACCCTTGACCCCTAAGACCTAGACATTGTCTCCACAATCACTGTTCTCAACTGATCTTTGAGCTTAAATCAATCAGTTAAATATTCATTTTGGCACCCATTTTGGTGGCCATCTTTGTTTTCTATATAAAGTAATTGTTTGATGACTTAGATTTAGACATAAACAAAATCAGCAGACATGTGCTCCAAAATAACTGTTCTTTGAGCTTAAATCAATAGTTGAATATCCATTTTGGCACCCATTTTGGTGGCCATCTTGGAATTTTTATTTAAAATAATTGTTTGATGACTTAGATTTAGACATAAGTCAAATCCTTGACCCTTAAAACCTAGATATGGTCTCCAAAATCACTGTTCTTAACTGTTCTTGGAGCTTAAATCAATAGTTACATATTCGATTTAGCACCCATTTTGGTGGCCATCTTGGAATTTTTATTTAAAGTAATTGTTTGATGACTTAGATTTAGACATAAGTCAAATCCTTGGCCCTTAAGACCTAGATATGGTCTCCAAAATCACTGTTCTTAACTGTTCTTTGAGCTTAAATCAATAGTTACATATTCGATTTGGCATCCACTTTGGTGGCCATCTTGGATTTCTATGAAAAGTAATTATTTGATGTCTCAGATTTAGACATAAATCAAATCCTTGTCCCCTAAATCGTAGACATGGGCTCCAAAATCACTGTTTTTAAGTGTTTATTGAGCATTAACAGTAGTTACATATTCGTTTTTGCACCCATTTTGGTGGCCATCTTGGATTTCTATAAGAAACAATTGTTTGATGACTTAGATTTAGATATAAATGAAATCCTTAACCCCTAAAACCTAGACATAGGTCCTAAAATCACCGTTTTTGCATCTCAGTGTGCTTAGATATACCCACTCTTATATTGTGACATGTGCACTGGCGGCCATTTTGAAAAATGGGTGATAA